TACAAAATACAAACCAACTAATAAATGATGATGTATTATCGGGTAACCTTGCAGCAGTATATCAAGTAATTAAAATGAGCCCCACCTACACCTGCTGTAACATTAAAGTGATGTCCATATTAATGCATCAATAATTATAATCCATTAATTTCATAAATTCTATTCTGAAATGGACCATTCTGCATAATGAATACTTTTACTTACACTTTATACTTTAAGTATATTTTGATCCTTATACTTTTGAACTTTTTATTAGGTAAGACTTTGAACACATTACTTTTACCTGTAACAGAGTATTTTATTTTGTTATATCATGTTATTTATAAGACAAACAAAAACACAGTTTTAGTCACTTATTTTGGTCAATATTAGCAAGTGATAGCAAACTTAAGCTATGTATAACTGACATTACTGAGTCAGTTCAAAGATTGTATGACTCTTTTTTTTTTTTTTTGTTCAGTGAGGTCGGTTAAAGATGACATCCTTTACAGCTAACAGACAACTTTGAGCAATGAGGGGAATTTCAATGTGCCATAATTCTGTAGTTACCACATGTGGCCATAGTGGTCGCTATTTAGCAAGAAATACAGTATGACTTTAAACTCTTCATGTATAATCCCTGAATGTAATAGTAATAAATATATACTGTATGTATATATAAAATCAACATTTGAATATGTTCATATTTTTTAATTAAATAACTGGCAACATATTGCACAGCTTACTTTAAGCATACATCTAAAATGCATGCATGCTTACATACATAACATTCTATATGTGCAAAACAAATATGTGCACCACATATTCATACTTAAAGTTATCCATATATGTGGAAAATTAAATAATGGAATCTAGTTTATACACATATATGTCACCATATATGAGAGACTTTGTCACTTTTCCTGCGTGTTTGCACAGAAAATGTGTGAAAACAAATATCTGAATCTCAAATATGTCCATATATGTAAACTTATATGTCCCTCTATTTAATATATATGTTTTTTTCCCCTTACAAACAGTAACAGAAAAGCCTGCGTTAAAGACTGGGGCTGTGGTGCTTGCAAGATGAGGGCATTAACTATGCAGAGAGGCTCTAATGATAACTCACTATTGAGTTGCATGCAAGTTTTCAGAGCTTCATGTGGACAAGGGATGAGCATATCTCAGCATTTGCTGCTTCAAATATGGGCATTGTTTTTTAATCTGTCTCTCACAGGTCCCCCAGCTTTTAGTGAAATTTGTAGGGTACTCCTTTAAATGTTGTTTAGATAGATAGATAGATAGATAGATAGATAGATAGATAGATAGATAGATAGATAGATAGATAGATAGATAGATAGATAGATAGATAGATAGATAGATAGATAGATAGACATACATTAAAATGAATGTTTAATGTAACCTGGATCAATTATATACAATGTTTTTTCCATTTAAACTTGTAATACAATACAATACTTTTTATGTTATGGCATAAGAGACAAATAGCTGACACTGATATATTTTTCAATCTGTGATCATCATCCTTGGGTGTTATGGGTAAAAACAATATATGGGATTTACAGCAGTTTACTGTACACAGTCTTTTGCCACATTGCCTTTGTGTATACACTGACAAATTAGCTCCAATTACAGCTGCAAGGTGTATGAGACAGGGAAGTCAGTGTGTTTGTTTATGGTTTAGCATTGACCATAAAACACAGTCCAGCCACCTGCATGAGTGTCAGTGACAGTAACAAATTAATTCACTGACTCTGTAAGCATCTGCCGGAGCTCTGGGGAGTGAGACTAATGGTGCACTGCCTGCTTAATGAAGCATTTTCATGTGCCATGCTTCAGCTGAGCTGAAGGGAAGTCGACTGCTGGAATAGCCCCAAGAAGAGCAGTGATGTGCGAGAGGCCTTCAAACCACTTCCTGTCTGTTGGTTAGTCTACAGGAAGTCACATGGTTGTTGCATCCTGCACAGAGTGGCGTTGTGCTCTGATTGGGCTGTATCTGAGAGTAACATAGAATCAGTGTGATGGGACGGGAACCTTGCCTGCTGTCTTCCTCTTCTTTATTCCTAGAAATAAAAGGTGACAAAATAGAAATAAATGTCTGTCAACTATATAGTGAATCGTAAATAGTTGCAACACACATTGATATCACCAATAAAGGTCCACTGTGAGTCTGTGCTTGCATGGTTATCTTACACTTCTTCCTGCCTGTGCTGCTTTCAGTGCATGTTGAAAAGTCATCACAACAACATGAGGACACACGGATGATGCAACTGGTTTCTGAATTGGCCCTCTTGGACAATTAGTCAATGAATCCTTTGAAGTCATTTGAAAATTAATCAGCAACAGCTTTGATAATTGATTCATCATATCAGCGATTTTTTTAAAGCAAAAGTGTTATGTTACTTATAATACCACAGATTATTCTGTTTTGTTCATTTGGTTGTCAGAATGGCATTACATTTGGTGAAGAGCGCATTCACTTGTTCAGGACTTGAAACTCAAAGTTTAGGACTTGGTACTTACTGTACTTTCCACCACTGCTCTGTGTTTGACTTTAAAGCTACGATATGTAACATTTCTGCAAGTAACGATGTGTTTCAGCAGTCGCCTGTCAATGGCATCATATCCCCTTTGTGCCTGCGTCAGCGTTGTGGTTGTCAGCCAGAAGCTGTCATACATTGACTTTTCATCCAGTTTTAGATCTTGGTGGTTTTTAACTCTATATCTGATGAAGGATTTTAGTCATCGGATGTCTCGATCATAAGTTATCAGAGAAACAAGTTCAGCTAATGTTAGCAGAACCTCCAGGATTTGTTTTTACCAGTTTTAGTCCTCAGGTCCGTTTGTAATAAGAATAATTGGGCTCCTGGTAGGAACTTCCTGAACCATGAACACTGAAGGAATCCTAACCGAGAGAAGCTGTCTGCAATGACGGCAATGGTTGTGATGACAACAACTCCCATGATGCCATGCTACTTCACAACGTCATCAAAATGAGAAATAACATAATGTATATTTATGCAAAATGTAATCTCTAGTCTATACTCTATATTGCTCCAGTATCAGAATTGTAAATATCTCTGTGCAGCATCACTTTTATAAAATAGGAAGCAGTTTACAGCTGAGTGCACAACATGGTTGAGCCAAAGGCGACATTAGTGGTAACTATGCACATAGACAATTGCTAGAGTTCAAGTTTGTCTAGCAAAAATATATTTCATTAATGTGTGTATCCATGTCCTGAGGGGAGAGTCTGGGAGAGACTGAGCTGCTCTTGTCTCTCTCTCTCTTTCTCTTTCTCTCTTTCTCACCCGCTGCCTGTCTCTCTGGCAACATGTCAAGTGTGGTTCAAGGTTAAGATACAGTTAAGGTCAACTGTAAGAATCTGAACCACAGCTGCGGCCTCAGTGTGACTCCCCGAATATAGCGCTCACAAACCGGCTTGAGATGCATGTTATCTGGTGTAAACCTGGTGTAAACATAGCTTTGGTTGTCACAAAGCGTGTTTATCAAAGAGCAGCGCTGTCCTCCGCTCACTCAGTCTCAGATAAACCGTGTGAGAAAAAACGAGGGAGACAGGTTGTTAGTGAGTGTAGGGGAAAACAAAGCTCTTCACCAAAAATGTTTTCAACCAGAGAGCGATAAGCACTTTAGGTCAAAGGTCACAGAGCAGGAAGTGTTGGAGTCCTCTTGAGGCTGTTACAGTGCTGACAGCCAAGGACAGGCTGCACGGATGTGGGCCATCAGGCCTTCCTCAGCTCCAGCTCGCATGTTATCTGCATATCCGAAGTGACGCTACAGCATCATGCCAAGGTTCTCTCCAGCCTTACTTAGCATTATTCAAGTGTTTTGCGGTCAAAAGGTCATTCATTTTTCTGATAATCTATATGTTTTCCTCACTGTGGCTGCAACCAGAATGAGGACTGTCGATTGGGGAAAATATCTGAGATAAAGGAGAGTGTGGGAAATCGTTTGGCAACAGAAACTTAGATTAATGCTGCCCAAGCAGTTTGGTGAAATCCATCTCACTGACATTTTATGTTTCTTGAAGCTGTAAAAGGATGTTCCATTAACTAAAGTGGTTTGGCGCTGTGGCTTTGTACTTGGACGTCCGCAGAGTTTAGGACTGACTGAGTACTCCAATTAATGGCTCAATTTTAATTTTGGCCTTAACTATGCCTTACATGTTCCCAACATATCACTCAGCCTACCGATTCCTGACAAAACTTAAGGGGAGTGACACAATCCACATTAAAGCTGGATCTTTCATCAAAGTCCTGGCTACAACACACAGAATATATTACAGTTGAACTTTCACAGACTTAAACCTGACCACATCTCTTCCTGTCCAAAACACATGCACAAGTAACAAATGCGCTCACAAAAACTAATGTATGACTGGGTTACATCATTTTAAATGTCACTCTTGTGTAATTGAATCATATGAAAGCTTTCACAATTTTCAATATTTTTACAAATTTGAGAAGATATATATATATACTGAAAGGCTGACTGTCTAACCCACACTCCAAATTAAAGGCCCAAACAGTCCTTTTGATTTATTTGACATTAATTATCCATCTTTATTTATTATAAAAGTGGTAAAAACTGATTTTTAAGGCGCCAGATTTAACCAAGCGGTCTATCAAATGCCTGACTTTTGACAAGCAAATTTCTTTCTGATATAATAAATATTTTTGTTATCAACAGTATCTTCTCTAGTAAGAGATTGTTGCATAGAGCAATCCTGAGCCCCTCTGAAATATTATTGTTCTTGGATTCACGTTTGAAAATAATCCATTTGCACTGGGTTTATGTGGGTTCTCTTCAGGCTCCTAGAATCGTCACCACCTTTTTACCCCTCTAGCGACTGTACTGTTGGGTTTATTATAGGGTTTTGGTCAGACTTTTGGCCCCTGAGCTGGTTTGGCTCCTCACATGGGACATTCCTGCCGAGCAGCCCCTCCCTGGAAGTCCCTCAGTGCGCAGACTCGCGGCTCTCCGCTGTCAGGGCAAGGCAGACTGACAGTATGGCGGCGGGGTGCAGCTGGAAGGATGCTACTGTCGCCCGTGATGTGTCTATCGCCGGCAGGACGTAAATGGACTATTGACGTCAAAAAGAGAAGAGGATTTAGCGAGAAAGGCCTGTCGCCGTGAGCTCCAAAGATGGCCAGGCTCGCCGACTACTTTTTAGTGGTCGGTTACGACCTCGACAAGCGAGGTGGGTGCTTGAATTAGCCTACCCTGCTAGCTTTAACGGCGTATCATTAGCTGTGTGCAAACAGGAGATCGGAGGGAGGCGGGGACGGCCCGGGCCGCCACTCACAACTGACCGGAGCTAGGCGCTGTCGGCGGGCAGTTAGCCGTCAACTTTGGGCCGGGGACGCGCAGGCCTCACGGGATTAGTGTGCTTAAATGCTAGCGTGTCAGCGGCTGTCCCGCATTTGTAACGGGGGGACACGTTGAATGTACAGCTCCGTTGCAATGCTTAACTTCCACACATGATTTAGCTTTAGCAAAACAAACTGTCGCACTCTGTTGACAGCAGACTTGGGCTAACTTTATTTGCTAAGAGCTAACGTTAGCCGGGGCTAGCTCCGAGGGGGGCTGGCTGCTTGGGTCGGCTGTGACCTAAGACGGATTTAGTCACCCGTTTCACAGTTTCAGCTGCATCTTCACCACTTGTCTCTCATTTACTAATGTAACTGTCGGCATTTAAACGTGGCATTTTCAAAGCAGAGCCTGCCACAGTGTCTGCCGGGCAGCGAGTTGTCAGTGTTTTGGCTGCAGGGTCCAGAGCAGCTTGGGACAGTCGGACCACGAAAGCCCTGCTGATTTCCGCTTGGACTTTATTTGAAGCGTGAATTTTAAATCTGGAAATCGATGCTTCTCCTCGGCGGAGTTGCTGATTGTTTTCTTTGTCTGTGTTTTGTGTGGATTAACCCAGATGGCTTTGCCCCTCCCTGAGCCCCCTCGGACCGGAGCTCTGTTCCCTTGTGTTGTTGGGACGGGGTTTGGACCGTTATCTGAGCCCCCCCTTCCTCCCTTCAGCCTGAGCCTTGGCCTAGATCTGTGTAGTATAATGGCTCGTTTAATCATGAAATATTCAACCCGCCTATCCGATGGAAGCATGCAGCTTGTAACGTGGTAGAGTCTTTTATTTAGAGTAGGTTTTTGCCCATGATTTATTCAGAAGTGGCAAATTGTAACATCACAAGCCCTCTGTGGCTAAAAGCAGGCAGCGAGCTGGCTTTTATTCCTGCAGCAACCTGCATCACTTTTCTGATTGCATGAATGCACCTATTGCATCTTGCATTTTCTTTCAGAGGAGGTTTTGAATACAGGATGTTATAACGTGGACACTGCAAACGCTGCAGAAACTCTCCTTCCTGCCTGAACGCAGTGCAGAGCAGAGCAAGCCTGTAAAAAGCATCTGGGAACCAGACATTAAAGCCACAATAGCTTTAATGGATCAAGGCTCCCATGCCTCGTAAAACCAAACACTTAAGGGTGATGATGACTGTCGGTGTTGCCCCACTACTGCTGCCTCACTGTTTACAGGAACTTTACTCAATGCTGAAGTTTCTAGGTGGAGGCATATTGTTGTGCTAAACATCTCCGGTGGCTCTGCAGTTAGATCTATACGCTCCTGCTTTGCTTTTAATGCTCCTCTAGTTTTGGCTGGTTCTTCAAACATCATTACCAAGCTCCAGAAGGAGATGGAGAGCGTTTTTAATATTGTATATGTGGGTGTTTCTCTTAAACTACAGTGTCAACATTAGATCTCAAGGGGGGTGGGGGGATTTATAGTCGGACGTCTTGAAGTTCCATATGTTTGTGCATTTTTCTGATATTTTAGGTTGTATTTTCATTTTCCTAGCTTTGGCGCCACTCACGCTAAGTGACTGTAAAGAAAACACTTGGCTGCTATTCAAGAATGAACGGTCCTCGATCATAAGAATACCAGGAATTCTGAAGCACAGTAGAGTTTCCTCTGTGTCTAAATATTTCATGCATCCTGTCTACGTGTGTGTGTTTGTGTGAGTGGTTGCTGGTTGTCACTCAGTGGAATGTTTTGCAAGCGTGGGCACTGACAGGTTTTCAGGACTGACATCATCATGCTCATCTGCCTCTCAGAGCGCCGGCGTCGCAAGCAGAAGAATCGTGGGTGTTTACAAACAGAACATCCTGCTGCCCACTTTTCTATGATTTAAGATGGAGCTCTTGTTCCTTGTTCACTTTTATGACTTTGGCTAGTCTAACAGACACTGACCTGAGGGCAGAGCCTTGAATCTTCCTCTCAGTTTGTTTCTAAGGTGTCAGGTTGCTCACATTGTGCTCAACCTAGATGCTAAGTTATACTATCAGTGGATCTTACATGGAGCCAAGATGGCTGCCTGTGGGTTGGGAAGAGTCCATAGTTGCCGGGGTGTGGTCCTCCTAGCAAGGGTCTCTTGAGAAACCCCACAGCATGTCACTGTGTTTTGACAGCGGTTCCTCCACTGCGCCGGGGACCCAGTGGCTAAATTGATACGCAGTCCGAGGCCCAAACAGGAAACTGGGGAGAGGACCCGAGGGAGTCTTATGTTTAGAGCGAGAATCCAGATTGTCTCCCTGTGCGTGTCTGAAAACCAAGAAAGGGGGCATGTGTTTGTGTGTGCGGCTGTGTGAGGCGGTCTCATTCAAGAGCGTGAAGCATACACACACACACACACACACACACATACACACACACACACACACACACACACAGACGCTTACATACAGGCTCTATTGTAGCTCCATCTGTGTGCCTCTGGCGGTGCAGTTTGAGGGTGTTGGTCATTGCTGCGTCGGCCCTAAACAGAATGCAGGATGGTTGTTTTCAGGCTGGAGCAACAACTCTGGCACACAAATCCTCCGCTGAAGCCCAGCCTCTTCTACACACACATACACACACTCCTACAGCTTGCAGTCAAACTAGGATCATTCACAACATTAGAGGCCAGCGAGGACACAAAGAGGTGCAAACAGGGAGGACTGAGCTCGCATTTGGCCTGTTGTGTTTACAGATCTCAGGTTGTTTCTGTAACTGTCATACAGTGCTGTCATGATTGTAGAACAATGTATAAGATTTAAGGGGGCTATGATACCACAGTAAACCAAACAAAAGCAATCAAGAAATGTGCTGTGCCTCTTGACTGGGACAGGTCTGTGATTGTGTTGATGGTGGTTGTCAGCTCTGAAAGAAAATGGTTTCATATTTCACCTCTGACACCAGTTTCTTCACTAGTTTTGTCGCAGTCAGTTCGACTGAGATTTGCATTAATGAAGTGACACCAGACGGGCCGACAGTGATTCATATTGTTCAGCTGTAGGGCTGGATTTTGAACCTCAGTAAAGTAGTGAAAACTGAAAGCTTTCATTGTATGTTCAGATTCATACTCATTTTATGTTTTCTTTGATCAGAGAGTTTCTGATTTAAATAATCATTTTACCTATTTTATTTAGGGTAAGTTCTTGTATGGCTGCTTTTAGAAAGACATATTCCGCAAAAGAAGACAAAGAAGAAACGTATTGTTTTGCTATAAGTACTGAAAATCGGATTGAAACATTTCGAATGAGAACCAGCCCTAGCTATGACAGAGCCAGATCTCAGTTTGTACCCGTTCATGTCCAGCTACTAGATGACAGGAAAGGAAGGGGGTGATAGGAGGTGACATGCGTTATACATGCAACAACAAACCATGGTGTGATTCATGGTTGGCGCCTTAAACCCCTGAAGTGTCCTGAGGCAGGAGACATTTTGAAAAACTATTGAACACACATGAAATGTTTGATCCAGACTGATGCTGTGGTATAGAAGTAGGGATTTCCGTTACTGTGACAAAGCTGTGAGTAATTCATGTGGTGCTCACAGGTGCGTTCTGTACCCGAGAGTGTGACGGTCTATGTGAGCCTGCACAAAGCTCAGAGGGGAAATAGAAACCTCTCAGATTGAAATCAAGATGAAGTGAGGGGAGGAGGAGAAGAGGGTGTGTGTGATGCTGCCAGCAGTGCCTGCCTGTGGGCAGCCACTTCCTCCATCGCCCCAGAGCAGGGCTGCAGCCTTTCAGGCCCTCCAGAAATAGCCCTCACAATCTGCCTTTCATAGGGGGACAGAGCGACGCTGGGTCACGGCTGCGGTGCACTGACGCTTGTGTGTGCGTCCATGTGCTGGCGTGAGCTGCTCTCTCCTCAGCCATTCAGATGGGGAGCCTGAATGTTTGTGGCTGTCTCTGTGTGTTTGCTGCATTGCCATGGCAATGTTTACCCCCCTGTGGGCTGAGGGTTATGGCGAGCGCCTGTCACATATTGATCAGTTCGTGACTAGTCATGATGTTATTATTTTTTTGTGGTGAAGGTAGCAGTGGCGGTATTTTGTGCTGATATGCAGTACCTTTAAATTTGAGCAGCTGTGCACCAAAACACAGTTTTAATGAATTAATAAAAACTTTAATTAATTGATTCTTATTTCAGCTTTTAAAGGCAGCATTTAGACCAACTGCAGAACACCACAACTCTCAACTGGCACCAAGTTGAGTCATTTTAGTGTCAGCGGCTCATAAAAAACAGATAGACATCAGCTCTGTTATGGCAGTAACACAAAAATCATAACCTGTTTACAGACAGCTGTCATGATGCTGTGGGCAGGATGAAACCTCCATCATATCACTGTTGGGTTGTTGCCCTAGTGTGTGTGTGTGTGTGTGTGTGTGTGTGTGTGTGTGTGTGTGTGTGTGTGTGTGTGTGTGTGTGTGTGTGTGGGGCTGTATTACAGCAGTCTGTCTGCTGTGCTGAATACTTGTTATTCATGAGGAAGACAGTGGCCCCAGGGCCCCAACGCTGCCCTCATTCCCTCATTCCTACTACACAGATACAGAGGAGAGTGTGTGTGTGTGTGTGCGCGCTGGGGGTGGGGATGTATATACATACACATGCTTCTTTACGCACACAGGACATGTAGACCAGTCCTGTCGGCAGTCACTTATTGTTCTGTCATATACTGTATACTCAAATAGTAATCCAATGCTGTGTGTGCCAACTTTTCGTGTGTGTGTGTTGCTAAGTAATTGTGATCTGCACCCCGGGGGGCAACAAAGGGCTTGGTCTTATGCCCTAGATTTAGATCGAGCAGTTAAGTAGTCAGTGTGCACCTTTAAAGAATCATTGCAATTAAAATGATCTTTCCTGTTGTTAAGA